TCCCAGCAGCTTCTACTGAAGCCTTCCGAGGAAATCGCCAGAACGCCGACACCTCCTCATCTCCACCGCTCCCATGTTTTCTTTTGTGTTGCCATAAGTTAGTCTCTCTGCGTTTTTGCGCTGGGCTAATGCTAATGCTAATAATGCTAATGCGAGGATAATAAAATGGCGGCTTCACAAACTTTTTGGGAGTTTTTTCTCCCACGAAAGTCCCTGCTCTCTAGCAGGGACTGAAAAGGGGGTAAAAAGGTTCTCATGAACTAATTTGAGTTCCGGATTTTTTTTTTTCGGATGTGAACCTTTATATACAGTCTATGGTGTGAACGCGACATTTCGGAACTATATCGGAAAACTGGGAAAGTACTGCGGTGTGAACGCGCCTCTTCATTTCCCCCATTCTGCAATTTGGAATAGGGGTCAAAGGTCAAGGCACAGGCCAGCATCCATGTCACTCCCATCTATGCCACAGCCAATGCAACAGAAAGGAAAAATAAAGGATGCCATATCTAATCTTTTCATTTGTAATTGTGTCCTGCAAAGAGGAGGAGATATTAGAAGTGACGATAAAAACAGAAATGCTCTGTGGGCTCTGCGAGGTTCTTCTTTTGGCTGCAGTCCTAAAATGCACCTTTATAAAATAAAAATACGTAAGGTGTGCATGGCCTCAGCTGTGAGAGGACAGGAACAAGATGTATTGATCAGTACTCAGCTCTTCACATATTATCTACAATATCCACTTGGATGTAATCAACTAAGCTGTGGTAATATCAGGACAATGGCATTAAAATACACGCTCCTGAAGAATCAGCTTTTAGAAATGACTAAAATACATCAAGTAGATGACTTTTCAGAATATATGAATATCCAAACATGTAAAATAATGTTTGAGTCACATTTAAAAATAAGGGGAAAAGCCATTGCTGTAGGATTTTTATGAGACAGTGTTAAACAAGAAACATTTCATCATATTGCTGCACTAGATAGAACACTGAAAACGGCACTTGGATATTTGAACGTACTTGAAACAAGTAGACTTGTTTAAATAAATATCACATTGTACAGGTAGATTAATAAAATATGAAAGGGGTTTAACGGTTGCCACAGCCTTAAATCACAAATTGTAGGCTTCACAAATCTTACTCATTATGGGCTTATTGTTTTAATTGTGTTAAGCTGTGGAGGCCTTCTTGTTATTGTGTCCACATTGTCCGGCAAAAACACATTTGCCTGCACGTAAAGGTCTTTCAAAGGCTGAAGACTTTTCTTTTTGCTGCTGCTTTTAATTGAACAATTCACATCTTAAACTGCACTGTAAACTTTTATTCATGTATTTTATCTTTTAATGTTTATTTTATTATCTTTGCTTTTTAATGACTGTTTTTAAATGCCGTTTTCTTAATGTCTTTTATTTTGTANTGTGTGTGTGTGTGTGTGTGTGTGTGTGTGTGTGTGTGTGTGTGTGTGTGTGTGTGTGTGTGTGTGTGTGTGTGTGTGTGTGTGTGTGTGTGAGAGACCAGGAACACCATGGGTGTTACAAAGTTGAATAAATCATCCAGAATTCAATGAAAGTGGTGATCAGCCATGTTATATGTTCAAATGTCTACTGTGAAGGATATCATAAAGCCTTAATGCAATCGAATGTAAAAAAAAAAGTTATGATTGATGAAAGTATTAAATCGGTCAGATTTGACCCGAAGACAACAGGAGGGTGTGACTGCACTGTGACTTTTGTTATAGTATTTTATTCCTGTACTATTTCCCCTTACTTAAATTTGTATTATATTTGCTTTTTAATGATTTAATGTATTTAGATGTCGTTTTATAATAATGTGTATCTTGTGCACTATGTCTTAATGCTGTTTATGTTTTGTGTAAAGATAGATAAATATACACTTTATTTATTCCAAATTGGGAAATGATTTAGTTCTAGCAGCAGTGACGAGCATTACACAAGTTTGAAAATAAGATCAAATCTAAAGCACCATTCCCTTTCAGTGCAACAGTGTTTCTCGCCACATGAAACAATGAAATAGGCATCCAGTCCTAGCTGATCTATAACATGGATCGTACAGTAATCACAAAGCTCAGTCCCCTCACCTTCTCTCTCTCTGCGGGGAACTAAGTTTAGCACCGTTCAGAACGGCAATCTCACACTTTTAATTTAAATCTCTCCAGGTGATCAGTGTCAGGCGTGCCTCTTCAGACTCTCGATCCCACTCTGCTCTCTGCCCCATTTGTCTTTCCTACACGCTTCACCAATATCTACTAATGGGTTTATTGTGGAGTGGTTTACAGAGAATACGCCTCGCTGCGAGATAGACACGGAAAGAAGAGTCTGGGGGTTGGTGGTGTTTCTGTGAAAAACCCTCTCCTGTTACAGGCTTGAAAGGGAAAGTTACATCTACACATTTGTCCTGTCAGTGAGTTCCTAATTTGCCACATCATGTTCCTCCCTTACGGTACGTCTACACTACAGGTATCAAAAAATGCTTTCAACGCTTCGCCCATTCACTTGAATGGGGTGACGTAGAAGATTTTTAATCTTCGCCGAACTGCATTGTGGGGAGCATGGCATGGCTTTGCAAGCATCACGAGCATCTATCGGCATCAAAAGTTGAACAATGTTCAACTTTTGAGGCTCGATGCTTGGCATCAGCCAATCAAATCCCGTTTATGCAAATCCCGCCAGTGCAAGCGCAGCCAATCAAACCGCGTGCAAGCTGGGAGAGCCAGACTGCAGTTAATTTCCTCATATTCCAAACGAGATATTACGGTAGCAAATCACCCGGTTCTTTACGGCCGGAACTATTTACCGGGATACAAACCGGAGGAACCAGGCATGGAGGGAGGTGGCAGAGACAGTGGGTGAAACTGATAGTTTTTTCGCCTGTTTGGAGAGTTTATATCCAGTTTACTTCGTTTTAACATTGCTATTGCTTTGTATGTCGGGGGCGGGAGATTCATGTGATTGGTTGCTCGCAAAATATCGCCAAGCTTCAGACACGCCCAGCTTCAAGATTTTTTCATGCCTGTAGTGTAGACGGGCCTGACCGTCTCCTTACGTTTCGCACAACACTGTTTCAGAATGATTTACAGAAGCCCTGGGAAGCATGTAACCCACGTTGTCTCTTTCTCTTCCTGCCTCTTTTCTTTCCATTTAGGACCACATCTACAAGCTGATGAAAAGTGACAGCTACACACGCTTCCTGCGCTCCAACGTGTACCAGGACCTGCTGATTGCAAAGAAGAAAGTAAGCATGTCTGTCTGTTTGTCCCACAGGTCAATCTCTCTGCACATCACTGATATACTCCATGTGTGATTACACACGGCAGGAAGTGAGGTCATATACCAGGTCGCTTTGTAAAGAGGCAGGAATGAGAGGTCTTTTTTTACGTTATTTATTGACTTGGTTTGTCCCTACATGAATGTTGCTCAAAATACAAACCCATGTTTTTACAGGCAGACGAGAATACACAAAATAGAGAAACTGTCTTATCTTAATCTGTAATAATGTGAACAGATCTGCTCAAGTGTGTGAGATTCATACGCTATTTAAACACTGAATTGTTGAACTGTTCCTCTTGGACTCCCAGCCGGAAACGGAGCAGGGCCGACGCACCTCTCTGGAGAAGTTCACTCGCAGTGTGGTGAGTGTCCCTCTGCTTATAACTCTTCAACTGCATTCATTCAATTACAAAGAGTCAGAGGCGCGGGAAGGTATTTTGAGTGGGGGTGCTGAGGTGCTGGACTCCAGTGAACACTATTACGGGCAATATAGAGCACGCACAAAAAAACTCCCCACACGCAAACACACAGTAAACCCGCGACTGTTACAATGAAGGCCCTATAATCAGCTCACGGCATATACGCAGGGGNATCATGATAAATGTCATGAACTAGTTTGTCTGAAATGGTTAGGTCAATTAGTCATGGTGTAGCATGTCTTAGAATTGTCTTAAAAAAGTCATAGCATGTAGCATATAGCATATAGCATGTCGAAAAATGTGTAAAACGGCATAGTACAGTTTGTTACAAAATATCATGAAAAGGTAAATAGTATGTAAAAAAATTGAAAAGAAAGTCATGGTATAGCAAAAAACAGAAATGCTATAATATGTCAATCTGCTGACTTTTGAAAAAAAAAAACTCTTTGCATGGGCGCGGGAAGGGGGGTGCTGAGGGCGCTGCAGCACCCCCTAGCGGCAGGCAGGGGGTGCGGAGCNATTGTCTTAAAAAAGTCATAGTATAGCATGTCGAAAAATGTGTAAAACGTCATAGTACAGTTTGTTACAACATATCATGAAAAGGTATTTACATAGTATTTACCTTTTCATGATATGTTGTAACAAACTGTACTATGACGTTTTACACATTTTTCGACATGCTATACTATGACTTTTTTAAGACAATTTGAAGACATGCTACACCATGACTAATTGACCTAACCATTTCAGACAAACTAGTTCATGACATTTATCATGATTTTTTTGTGACGTAGTATACTATGAGTTTCTTTCAAATCTCTCAACATGCTGATATACTGATGTTTTTTCTACATACTGTACAATGACTTTTTCATGATATCTTTTAACATGGTTACTATGACGTTTCTCTAAATGTTCCTTATATTATATTTGTTCAACATCCTATAATATAACTTTTTCAATGTACTTTATTTTGCCTATATAGGCTACTGTGACTTTTTCAGATTTTCCACATACTACTACAATGCCTTTTTTAATTCTTTAACTTTTTCACGACTGCTCCACCGAGGCATTTTCTTGTGGTATCATTGTTTACGATACGATACGATATACTTTATTGTCCCCGTAAGGAAATTTGTTCTGGACTCCATCCTGCAGTTCCGCATACATGCACATATACAAACATAGTAGACATTAAGAGACATACACATATCATCAGTCAAACACCCAGGGCTCTCAAGTTTTGAACAGAGTTCAGAGTTAGATTTTGTTACTCCAACTTCTGACTCCACTCAAAGTTCCTGTGAAGCCCTCTGTACCGCGAATGTCAACGGGTTGGGGGGGGGTGCTAGTGGAGTATGAAGCCCTCTGTCTCGCGAATGTCAACGGGTGCTAATGGAGTGCACGCGTCTCAAACAAGCCTAGTTTGTTTACAAAATTGCGGCGCAACTTGGTGGGCGGTACCCTGGAAAGAAATCTCTGCGTGAAAAATACAAGGTGTGGCGTGTGAATGGAGTGAAATGCGTGTGTCTCACGCCAAATCTCTGTACACCGTTTGAACAAACACAATACACAGACGCACATACTGACATATGGCCAACATTTAAAAAGTACATTTCATTACATTTGACTACATTTCATTTCATGTGAATGTTAAGAAGCTTAATGGACATAGATAGGAATGAGTGCTTATAGCCAGGTTCAACGCTGCTCTTGGGAACCCCTGAACTCTTCTACCAGAAGGGTAGGAGCTGGAATTGCTGGGTGAAGTATCACGTGGGTGGCGATCAGACACGCATTTTGTTTTGCCTGCTNTTCCGTCGATGATGGCAATCTGTCCAGGCCCTGAGGCAGCAAAGCAGCCCCAAACCATGATGCTCCCTCCACCATACTTCACAGTTGGGATGAGGTTTTGATGTTGGTGTGCTGTGCCTTTTTTTCTCCACACATAGCGTTGTGTGTTCCTTCCAAACAACTCAACTTTGGTTTCATCTGTCCACAGAATATTTTGCCAGTAGTGCTGTGGAACATCCAGGTGCTCTTTTGCAAACTTCAAACGTGCAGATCAGAACACATTTTATGACCAACTTATGCAGAAATCCAGTTAATTCCAAAGGGTTCACATACTTTTTCTTGCAACTGTAGGTAGGAATGAGTGCTTATAGCGGTTCAACCTGCTCTTGGGAACCCTGAATCTTCTACCAGAAGGTAGGAGCTGGAATTATGGGTGAAGTATGTGTGTGGGATCAGACACCATTTTGTTTGCCTGTCTGATAATGGACTGCTCGTATATGTTTTGGAGAGATGGGTGCTTTTTAACCCCCATAATTGTCATAGCAGTCTGTACCAGGCGAGCGATCTGTGACTTTGACTGCTCTGTCAAGTTACCATACCAGGCAGTAATACCATACCTAATGATGCTCTCAGTAACTTTTCCTCCCACACTGCTCCTTGGTTAAGCTCTTAAGGTGACAGCTGTCCCCCTCCCTCCCTTTATCTCTCTGCGTCCCATCAGGGCAAGTCTCTGACGGGCAAACGGCTGACGGGTCTCATGCAGTCGTCCTGACCAGGCTTGGATGAAGAGTAGGAGGAACCGTACCCAGAAGAGCTGCTTGGCCCTGGGGAGCAGCTGGAAAAAGACCCTGGGGTGTTGGGTGTGGCTTTGGGAGGCGGATGATGGCGCCAAAACGAGCCCAGACTGCCACCATGTTTGAAACTCACCTCAGATCTGTTGAAGAGGACTGACAGCATGCAATAAGTCACCAGACCTGACACCAGGACAGTGCTGTCACAGTGTAGAGGAAAAAAACAATCTTCTTAGGAGCTTTCTACTCAAAAGCCTGCACCACGCCAGGCTTTGTTGTCACTTGGTTTTTCTGTACTATCTACACACATGTTGCTATATGGCGCTGGAGAGGCTTTACTTTCAATGATATAAACATGGAATGCAAATGAGACTTAGATTAATGCTGTAGCTAGCTGTTTTATCTCACGTCATTCCCTAGGATGATATAAGGGAAAGAGAGTGAGGAAGTATACATATCCGCACTCTCGAGCTGAACTTCTGCTCATTCCACACATTGATGTTCAAACAGGTGGAGTAGGACACCTGCTTTTTAGCAAATGAGCTTTTTGATCATGTGGGATGGCACAAGATTGAAAACCTGTGCTTGTACAAGAGTGGTTTAGTCGGTTACAATGCGTGTTTACATGTCCTTCAAACTAATGCCTGTTTTCATGCTCATTACAGACAGAAACTACAGAACTTTATATTATTTCCTGTAAACACCTTGACCTGCTCTGGTACAGTAGGTCGTTCCTGGAAAGCAGGACACACACAACATATTCTATATCTATTTCTTAGGTTATTCAGCATATCTACAACAATTCTACTTTCATGTGTTATCACTGCCACTGTCATTTTTAACGAGAATGTCTTCAAAGCATTGTACAAACCACGCTGAACAAACAGAGGTGTGATCTTGTTTTCATCACAAGGTATGGACAGGTTGATCATATTACAAAAACAAAGTGTGTAACTTTAAATGAGCGTGCTGATATAATGTTAGGCTTTAATCTTCTGAACATTCCACTTTAGGCTGCCACAACAAGGTTTATAGTGGACTGACCTCCAACCATCCTCACATAATGTAAAGGGGACCATGATAATAAACGAGGAATGCACAATGAAGCTGGTCTGTTATTTCATGTTTTTCCGTTTCATTCCTCCAGGAGCCTCAAAGAAATCCCGAAAAGGAGCAAATAGTCGACTTTTGAACTATGATCCATCTGACAGGTACTTCTCTCTCCTTGTAGTCATATAGCGCCCTCTGGTGCATCCCAGAAGTAATTACAGGAACATTTGTTTTAGTGTTACAGGATATATGCAGGAATACTGAAACTAAATTGAATACTTTTTGAACCCTTTCCTTTCCCTTAAATTATGAATGATGATCAAAATAATGTATTAAAAGGTTATACTATACTATTACACTTTTCAGACATACTATATTATGACTATTTTTCCAAATGGTCGACCTACATAATTATATATATTTTTTCACGTTTTTAAGACTTTTTCACTACACTATAACTTAGTATGACGTTTTTTTGAACTACTATATATTCATTTTTACATACTATAATATTTTTCGACATACTATTTCATGATTTTTTAGACTTACTTTATTATAAATGGACATACTGTAAGATAGAATCAGCTTTACACTTTTTTTAAGGCCCTGTGGGGATATTTTCTGAAATGTTCTGAAGAATGGCAAGCTATTACTTTTTATAAATAGCAATTAGGTAGGAGAAACACCACTGGAATCCTTATTGAAGTAGTTGGTCTGAAGTTTTTGCTAATGTAAGATATTGGGAATGTTCAGTGCCAATTCTAGAGTCTGTGGGGGCCCTAGGCAAACATTCACTGGGGGCCCCTCGAACCAGCTTTTCATCACCACGCTCAGCCGACAGCATCCCCCCGGAGCGGAGGGAGGCAACGAAACTCAAGATAAGAAGCAGCATTTTACGGCGCGCTATGCATGGGGCCGCCTTGAGGGGGCTTCCCGACATGTCGTTGCAGTCAATTAAAGGGTGTTTCATGTTGTCGTTGCTGTGGACCTTCTTAATGGGGCCCCCCTTCTGGTCCGGGGCCCCAAGCAGTTGCCTGCCTTGCCTTGTCCGCAAGTGGCGGCCCTGGGAATGTTAATTGTCTTAAACATCATTACGCAGCAGTGGTTGATCTAGTCAGAGCTTTTAGGTGTCTCTCTCATAGTAGCTGTGAAGTAGCACCACCTGGTGGAGCTTGAGTAAAAAGCAGCAACAGGTTTGTTTTTCAAGCATCTCTTGAATCGTAATCTTGATCAAATCGGTCTTAAAATCACTTAACTTTAAAGACTACTGTCATCTTACTTTTAATCCTGCTAACTTCCCCTACTAGTCATATTCTGCAGTTTTAAAGAAGGACAGGACAATATGTTTGATGCTATTAAGGTTATATTTCAGAAACAACTGCTGAAGTATTATTTAGCAGAAAATCCACCGCCATTAGTGTCCTACAAAAACCTTGTACCTCCAAATGGGTACCTCAACATTTCAAGATCCAGCTTGTTTGACAATTCTCCATTATAGTGATTAAAGCCATTGATTAAGTATGGAATGTCAAAGGTATTTAAAGATATCTGAAAAACAAGTTGACAAGAAGTCCAACTTTGTCTATTGTTTTGTAAGTGATAAGATAATGTCTTTACAATGTGGATTGAAAACATTTAAAAATTCTCAGCGAACAAGGTTTATGAAGGACACACTTTTTCATCCTTTCCAGCAAAGTCTATGATACAAGGGTAAATATATATATTATATACTTTAACTAAAACAAATCTAACATTAATCATACACCCACAAATATAATTAGCTTGAATACTGTGAGCACAGGTCTTAATATTATTACGTTTCTCTAAGTATACAGTTGATTAAAAAACACATGTTAAAACACAGAGACCTCAATGTGTAGCCATGATAAGATTTATTGTCCATAGCCTTACAATGTACATAGAGTCAGGGTCTCATACTGAAAAGGTAAGGGTTAACGTTTGGAGGGTGCTAAAACGTTGTTAAAAGTCTGTTACCTTCTTCAAAACGGCACTAGGTAACTTGCAAAGAGGGCTGAAATAAAAACATTGTGAAGTGCAGGTTTAAAGGCTGAGGGCTGTTCTCATGTCTCTGATTGTACATCCTTTATTATTTCATTGCCTCCTTTTCTTATGTCTTACTGGAGCCCAGGAAGCAAGGAAGCGACATGAGGAGATAGGAGTCGAGGCAACCAAAAAATAAGACATCTATGCTTTGGAGCAATCATTTTAGTCAATTAAATGTAACTGTAATCTGTCCATTGTCAACGATTATGAAAGAATATCCATACTCTGCTCGAGACATCCTTCCTTCAAAAGTTCACTGAGATACATTTCTGGGTCAAAGGCAGGGCGACAGAGGAGACCAAACAAAGAAATTAGAAGAGCGGCAAGATTTGAACATGTGTAGCCCCTTGTAGAAGTGCTCTGTTGAGTGGACAACAAAGGGGAAGCTCTAAGGTAGCAGTTAGGCAGCTGCAGCGGGACAGGAGAGAGGCTGCACTCCTTTAATCTCCAGAGCCTTGTTGAACTGCACCTCCATGGTCTTAGAAGCTTTGGTGATCTTCAGGTTCCTCATACAACCTCTGAAGGACGTGTTGGTGGAGAGAGCCGCCTGCCGAACTCCACCTGAGAGAGAAAGAAAAACAGAACCTCTCACATATTTGTATTTAAAGGTCCCCTATGATACTGTTTCTCATCAATATATTATAGGTCTCAGATATATACAGAAGATGTCTCTGAAGTGTTTGGCTCCAAATACCACACAGATCATTGCAGCATTACCCATAATCCCCTCTGTTTCAGCCCTGTTTCCAAAGTGCTGATTCTCTGTCTGTTACTTTAGATGAAAATAAGGAGCCCCTCCCCACGCCCCTCTGAGAGATATTTGGTTAAAAAGAACTCAATGGTGCTCTAGGAGGAGATTCAGGTGATAAGGGTGGGGGGGGGGGGGGGTTACCTTGGTTGGTGATTGGCTAATGGTTACACAAGCCAACACATCGTTATGACATCATAAAGTGGCCAAAATCTGATCAGCTCATTTTCAGACAGGTTTTTATAGAAATGGATCAGGACAAAAAGAGAGACAATCTTTTTTCCTGAAACTTTTAGAATCTCTTTCCACAGAGGGGACACATGTTGATGTAGAAGAGACAGGAAAAAGTGGATTTGACCTTTAAAGTTGCTCTTTGATCCACAAAATGTACTAATACTAATGTGTTTTTAATGTATACTAAGGTATAATACTGAGTATGCGAGTTAGAAAGCAGTCGTACCCGGATATCCTCCGACGTAGATGGGGTTGTTTGTGTCACACGTGTTGGAGCGAGCGTTGGGGCTCTCTGATTGGCTCTGCTTCTCGTCCACCACCAGCTCCACGCGGTGCCGCAGCTTCTTGGCAGTGACCGAGTGCCACTGGCCGTCGCAGAAGCCCTCGCCCTCAGGCATGTGCTCTGCTGTGATTCGTCCAGCTCCGTTGTCAACGTGGAAGAGCAGCTGGTGACAGGAAGGGGAAGAAATGCTTGTTTTAAACGATATTTTTGAGATGTCATGCATATGTATCTAAGTACATGTTTTGTTCTGTGATCATTTAAACCAAGCTATTGCTCGGACAAGCTCAGTCGTTACTTCTAAAGTAGATATATAATGCACCCTTCACACTTATTTGTTTTCTGGTTAAGAGTGAGATGAGAGAATAATACTTCTTGTATGATAGGTTGGACAGGATAGCCGTTTCCAGTTCTTTTGATCTATTATTTAACAGTCTTACTTTATACAGTAAAGCTTTTTCTTCTCAATTTCTAGTGGAAATTGAATAACTATTTCCCCAAATGTTGGATTCCTTTAGTCAATGTTACGTACCTTGCCCTCGACAATCTCTAGTCCCAGTCCATCGTTGGCTTGGTTACTGATGCCCAAAAGCACGCCATTGGTTCTGCTGGTCCTGAACTCTAAGGCTATCGACACATCCAGACCCACTCTGTAGGAGGAGACTAGAGAGAAGGAGGGAGAGGTATAAATATTCCCTTTTTATAACTAAGGAAACTACATTTAAATGAGTTAAACTAGAACAGATTTTTGCTGAGGTTACATGTTTGTAAATGATGTCTCAGTGTCTCATCTCACCTGCTTTCAGGAAGCCAGTGCCTTCAAAGTAGGTGCCCGTCTCCGTAGCAACAAAGCATCTTCCCACCATGTGACTGGAGGAGGGCGTGGCCATGTCCAATTTAAAGTCCTCAATGACAGCGTCAGCGCGGCCTAGCAGAGGGACAAAGTAATCAGTTGAATACATTGAAAAGTATTAAAAGGAATGAAACTTCAAACCTGGATAATTACAATTGTAAATACAAATGTCTCACCTGTAGCACCTGGCTTAGCGCTTACAGCACCTCCAACCATCTTCATGTTACGAATACATCCATTGATACTGTAGAGAATCTAAGAACAGAAAAAAAAGGGATGGTTCAAAAACATTGGACATTAGTTAACTGTTCTTAGTCAATTATTGCAAAAGTAATTAATTGTTTGAACAAAACAAATTGAGTTTAGATACTAAATAGAAATATGACATTCTTGGGCGACATGAAAATAGGTTTTACCGGTCCTATTCTCTTGCTTGTGTAGTTTGTCGGAAATCCACCAACATACAGGAGTCCCACCACGTCCAACAGGTCAGCCTGGTGAGGGAAAGACAAGTTGTTATTGCCACAAAAATAGTCCTTTAAAACGTGATCAACATATGCATGGCTATAAGATCTGAGGGATATTTTCTTCTTCCTTGTCTGTCATGTGCTTATTTGTATGTGATAGTACAGTATATTGGAAACATAGTTAGAATAGAAAACAAATGTACCTTCTTTGGACTGATCATCTGTTTGCTGTATCGCCCATCAACCATGAGAAGACCTCTCTGCTTCACACGGCTCACACGGATCTAAAGGAAAAAATAACAAATAAAAAACGGGTCAGTAAGACATGAGGAAAAAGGGAATAAGGAGCATTTAAACCAAAATATAAATACAGAGACCATCTGCTGTCTATGGTGTAGAGGGAAAATGCTGCCATCTTGTGATTTAATATTCAATACATTTGGGACTTGTGTAAAGTGAATCTGAAGGACTTAATGTTCTGGATGGCAAAAAATGCAACTAAGAAAATGGTGAAACTATGAATATGACGACAGTATCTTAATATCTAGTTAAACTCTAAAAGTCGATTGTAGACCAGAATTGGTCTAACAAGTAACAAGTAACATGTAAATTGCCATCAAACAATTACTAACATCAGTGCTTAACACTTTTGTTATCCTCAAATTACACTGAAGCTAAGCAGAGTATTGTCCTAAAAGTAGTTTTCCATTCAGAGTATATATTAAGAAACTAAAATATTGTCCTGCAGCAAAATGAAGTAACAAGTATGAATGAACTTACCTTGTGCCAGTTCCCATCGTTGATGGAGAAGGGGACGCAGCCAGAGATGTTTCCATGACCGAGATCATAACCCAGACACACCTGTCCGTCCTTGATCTGCAGGAGGAGACACACAGAGGGTCATGATACAATGAGATGTCTAATGTGACCGTCTATGGACTTTGTCATGAATATAAGGACCTTGGTGATGGCAGAGAGGAATCCTGTGTGAATAAAGATGGGGGAATAAACGACTCAAATACTCACCTGTGTCTGCTTTTGGATAAAGTTGTCATAATGTGTGTGTGTTTTACAACAGTCACAACAGTGTGTACGAGCTTTTTCTTGTGTTGTAAACAGAGCTGAGCCTTATATAATGAGTGAGACGGTGCTTTAAGATACAAAGAAGCAACCTGTGTTTTCCTAAAGCATTAAACATTGGGACTAATGGGAGGGAAAATAAAGCAGTAAGTGGATACCTGGATGGTGACAAAGTCAGCATGGTTGATTCTTGCCATGTAGAGAACGAGACCAGACTCCTCCTTCGTCCTCAGCTCAAACTCCAATATTAACCTGAGACACACACATATGATAAAGAAATGATTTAACACAGTCTGTACATATGAACAACACCAGAGGGCCCAGTAAAACACACAGGCACAATATGTCTATGTGATGTTTTGCATTTTGATCAGGATACTGGATTATCACATCATTGCAACAAAAACCAAAAAAATGATTTCCTCCGAGGGTAATAAAACACTTACAATTTTCCAACCAATGGATGCAATTAGTTCTTGTCGCTGTTGATTTAAATGGCTGGAATTGCTTCACACAAAAATGGTTTTATTCATTAAAAGCGGAACAAGTAAAATGTCCTAACCAAATTAAATTAATAAGGCATAGCGTGGAATAATAAGTAAACAAAAAGAAAGAAAAATTGCAGTTTTAAGTGAGTAAGACAGCTATTTGATCCTATTTTCTAGCACTGACATTTTGATATGAAAAGCAAGCTATCTGAATGTAGAAAAATGCCCAGTTAATGAATGCTACAAAGTAACATTATGTAAACAAATTGAAAAAAGTCATAGTATAATATGTTGAAAAATAAGTTCTATAGAGAGGCGAAGTCCCTCCCTTTCCGGGGGACCTCCATGGGACCTTATTTCGGAAAAATTATGTATTGAAGTCAATGGCGAGAGAAAACGTATCTTTCGATCCTGTTTGAATTGTGCCACGAATTACACATATGATGTTTGTTAATCTTAAAAAATNACATCAGCAGGAGAGGACTCTTTAAAGTAGAGACACTACATACTGATATACACCTGAACATCAGCAGGAGAGGACTCTTTAAAGTAGAGACACTACATACTGATATACACCTGAACATCAGCAGGAGAGGACTCTTTAAAGTAGAGACACTACATACTGATATACACCTGAACATCAGCAGGAGAGGACTCTTTAACTATTTGATTGATTCAACAAGATATTCAAATAAAGAAGGGAATAGTTTCTAATGATTGGATGTTCATTTTTGTCCTCCTTTTTATTTTCACATTGTGTTAATGCCTTGTCAACATGCTGCTGTGATGAATAGGGGATATGCTGAGGATAGCCCTTTAGTAAAACGCAGTTAAAGAAGTGATGCAATGTTGAGTTTCTTGGTGTAAATAAGCAGCCAGGTGTACTGGAGGATAGCGTTATGAACAGTGAGCCCTCCCCGGCTGAGGACCTGTGAAAAGAGCTGTATTTTATGGCCTGTGTGTCTGATAGTGATCGTTAAACTCTAAATGTGAGGGAAGGTAAAGGGGGTTCTGCGCATTGATCTCCGGGTGAAGCTCTCCCTCCGCGGACTGACCTGCTCTCCACCTCCGCCAGGTCCATGCCCTCCTTCTTCACCGTGACGTCACTCATCTTCTACCTGAGTATCTTCTTTATTCTCTATTCTGTGTGTTCCTGAGGATCCTCTGAAGCTAGGTAGTCTGTTAGCATCAGGTTAGCATGGAAGCTAATGTTGACATGCTGAGTTCAGGGTCCTTAGGGGGGAGTTCGCGGGGCCGCCCTAAAAACTGCCTGTTCAAAAACATCTGAACAAAATAAAGAAATAAAGGCACTAGTTATCTGTCGCCACTTTTTAATTTAATTTTCTTTTTCACAAATACAGATGTGTGTTATCCATACAGTCTATGGTGTTATCATGTCGCCATTTTCACAAAAATATACTATGTTTTTATTTCTCAAAATAACAAACCAATCCTATTTTGCGGAGATGGATGTAAAATATTATTATATATTTAAACCATAGACTGTAAATATGAAAGAAGAAGAATGATGGTACACAACATTAAGCAAACAATACAAATGTGTCGTTTTTAAAAATACGTATTTTCCAATCCAGTTCATCCTGGCGGGGCGGGCGGGGACTGTGTCTCTGAAGAATCCTCAGGGTTTTATTAGCCCCGCCCCTCCGCTCCATGCCAGTAAACAACGCAGGCGCACATCTCGTTGCTATGGTGACGCGTCCGAACAGTCAACAGCAGTTTAACGGAAGTGTGTTTTTTAATCGGAGCTGAAATCTGAAGTAAGTAGACTTAATAATCTTTAAGCTTTATTATAATGAACTTTACTTAATTATAATAATGATATATTTATAAATATATATAAATACAAGAGGATAGAGTTTCTCTTCATTCCCGTAGGAACATCAGGGAAAGTAGTTCCGGTCTATAAACTGTTAAAGCAATAACCCAAGAGTCCCTTAAGATGGGGATGTCACCGGTTTCGGTGAGTAACACGAGTGTAATGTGTAACGTTAATGTCAGCTAGCTAAATTCACTTACGCGACTCTGGAATTTGTAGTCTTTCTAGCTGCGTATTTTTCATTTTCTTATATTTCAACAGTTTTACGACAAACTGTGACTTTTTTGACTTGGAAATAATTTTTTAAGATTGACAAACATCATATGTCTAATTCGTGGCACAAATCAAACGGGATCGAAAGATAATCTTTCTCTCTCCATTGACTTCAATACATAATTTTTCCGAAATAAGGTCCCATGGGTCAGAAGTAGATGGGCGGGGCTTCACCTCTCTATAGCATTTTGAAAAGAATCAAAACCAATTCATAGTATATCGATACATAATTTAGACATACAGTAAGATAGTATGTGAAATTAACCTTAAAAAAGTCATGTCGAAAATAATTATACTGTAGTATGTTAAAACATATGTCGAATATGTCATGAAAAAAGTCAAGGTATTAATTAAGTCATTGTATAGTATGTGGATAAATACTTTAAAAAATCATACTATAGTACTTTGAAATAAAATAAAAAAAGGTCATTGTATAGTATATTGAAAAAAAAAAATAAAGTAAGTATGCAGGAATTATAAAAGCATAGGCGTATGTTGAGGAAACAATTGTATTGTATATAACATTCTTAGACTTCAGCGAGTGTTAGAGATGTTTTGACTTCTAGCCAGCCACATCATTTAACATTGAAAAGTTATATTGTCATTTTTATATTGTAAGATAAATCCCCCCCCGGTCGACACAAAGCCGACCCACATAAAAAAATCCGAATTTCCTCCCCCGTGTTTCATACCTCTCTCTGACTTTGGCGTCTTCAAAGGCAAAGCTCATGTGGCTGTTTTTGGTCAGTCCGAACTGATAGGCCTTCTCCAGAGCGGCCGGGGCCACAGCTGACGCACATGAGTCCTGCAGATTGGAAACAACACGCCAGGTACAATGAGAAGGTTTCAGAGCACGGCTCCACTGCCTCCTGTCAACAGGAACCTGAGCACCTGAGCACCTGAGCAGAACGAGCCAATCACAACGATAGGGTTTCTGCGTCTGATCTGCAGGGACTTAACGGACGTATAGGTCACTAGCAATAGTTTATTATATGGAAAACAGATAAATGAAGATTATAAAGTAAATGGTTAAGTGTGCCTTGGATGTGCATTAAAAGATTACCATACCAAGCACTAAAGCAAGTTGTAGCATTTTAAAAGGAATTAAATTGCCATCATCTTTGATCACTGTTTGTCTATTGCCTCTTCATCTCCAATCAGATACTGCCAAGGTGGATTTGGCTGACACTGTTTTCAGATCAATGGACCCTCCTCCCACAGTTTGATCATCATAAATCCTGCCCATCTATCCTTTTAATCTTCAAACACCACAGTCGGATTTTCATTTGATCCTTTTTTCAGTTTGGCAGCGGGGTAACCAAGGCATTCGATCGTTTAACCCTTAGCATTTCCAGGGTGCAGTACCGCCGGGGACCAGAAGATGTCAGTGTTGTAAAAGTAACGGTGTTTAAGTTATGACATTTTCTTTTTATTCCCTTTCTACTACAATTTTCTTCCACTTGCTTCCTTCATTTATCTGTTTCCCCTTGTCCAAGTCTTCCTTCTGTTCTCCCATCTGCTCCTACTTCCTCTACACTCCTTTCTCTCATCTCACTTTCTCACTTTCCCCTTCTCCAGTCCTCTTCACCACACCTCTTATTATTTACTTCCCTGCTTTACTCCAATATCTCCCTCCTCTACCTCCTTCGGGTGAACTTCTCCTTGCTCTTCTTGACTCTAAAATCACGTCTCCTCTCCCTCTCGGTCCTCTAGATTTCAGACTCCTTCCCTCTATGCTGACTTATCCTTTTCTGTTCACTTGAAGGCTTGTTTCCAATGGTTGTTATTTATTCTATCCACCACTATCTCTTCTTTAATTCTCCTGCAACGTCCCTGTCTGCTCCTTTCCTCCCATATTTACCCCCCACCTTCCTCTCTTGCTGCTTCCTCCCTCTAGTATCTTCCCAACTGATCTTGTAGACTCCCGTCCTGTGTTGTCCTCTAACTCCATTCCTTCCTTTCTTTTACCACTCATTTTCTCTTTCTACCTTTCCCTTCTCTTCCTTCTCTGACATTTTAAACCTTGCCAAATCACCTTTCCACCTATCTATCCTCCTCTCTCCTTCCTTTCCTGACCCTTCACCTCTTCTCCTCTCATCTCCTTTCCTCTCTCCTTTCCTATTTTAAGGTCTGATCTCCTCTACCTTCACCTGTTTTTCAGCCATCTATGTCTTATCCATCACCGACCCCTGCCTCCAGTGGAAGACCTTCACTTTTTAATGCCCTCCTTTCTCCATCTCCTTTCACTTCTAACTCCACTTTTTGTCTTTACCTGTCCTCAATTAATCCCCCACATTTTACTTTGTGCCTCCTTTCCTCCAATCTGCACTTCCTTACTCATTTCTGGGTCTTATTATATTTCTTAATAAGTACCAAAGCTTTTTGCCATACCTCCAGTGTCAGTGTGAGACAAAGTTAGAGAGAGAGGGACAGTGTGTGTGTGTGTGTGTGTGTGTGTGTGTGTGTGTGTGTGTGTGTGTGTGTGTGTGTGTGTGTGTGTCTTAATCTGCTCTCCTCTCTTGTTCCCTTTCAAGTGAAGACATTCTCCACACCGTGACCTTGCTTTGTTACAGCTGACACTCACCTCTTATCGTGCTCTGTCCTCATACCCGCTCCTCCTCCTCCTCAACCTTCCTCTTTTTACTCTCTTTCTCGTTCTCCCCCTATCTAACAAAAGGGAGATGTCACTGGCTCGGGAGCTCTTTCCTTCCCTCTCCTTTCATTCTTCTGTCGCTTCCTCTCCTCCGTCTTTCCATTAAGCCAACAAAAGGCTCGCCCGCTCTGCTCAGAAAGACTCTCCCTCTCTTCCTTTCCTCCTCTTCCTCAATGGCTCACATCACCTTTTCTCTGTGCTCACGTCCATCCCCTCTCTTCCCTCCCTTTCTCTCATCCCCTCCGCGTCTTTCCATTAAGCGAACAATAGGAAAGCCGTCTTCCATTTACAGCGGCTGGTCTCTGGTTGGAGGTCACACCAATAGAATCTGAAGTAATTTAATTGGGATTACGTATAAGTGTGTGTGTCGTAGAGAGATCAGAAGTCTGTGCTCTGCTTATTGTAGTTTTCACAGAAGCTACCCTTTTGACCTCTGGTTGTAATTAGCTCTAGCTACAACTGTTGTACTGCTGAACTCAGGACCAATTTAAAGACGGTGCAGTGCAATGGTCCTTCAGCATATGCTAATAGTCACTAAATGGCTTAATAGTGTTTCAAAGACAGGTGTTGAATTCAAACAAGAAAAGCTTGAGGCCACTAATGCTGTCGATGCAAAAGCTGCACCAAGATCTTAAGGAGGCAGTTGAATGTGAAAAGTACATCGCTGTGTAAACTAATCACCTGTAAAGCAATGCAAAAGCTGGAAAGAGAGTGGGTGGTGGTGTGTAACATCTCCTCACCATGAGAGTATTAAATGAGAAGGCTCTCACTTTTCTCAATAACCAATGTCAAGGGCTCTTGGGCAAAGCACTTAACCCCGAGCTGCTGGAGCAGAGCTGGTCAGGGCAACCAGCACGGAGCTGCTCAGGACAAATGTGAAGGAGGTAGATAAATAAAGCTTTTCTCAACAGACTTTCTCTCGGTGAAAAAGGAGTAAATGGGTGAAAAATGTACTTTGCATGGAAGCTTTATGAATCTTTACCAGAAAGCTCTGAGTAAGTATGAGACTATACCTGATTTTAGAATGAAAAGACAACAAGGTAAATGGAGGAAGCAAGTGAAAAAGGGCTAAGGTTGATGGTGTGTGTGTGAGTGAGTGAGTGAGTGAGTGAGTGAGTGAGTGAGTGAGTGAGTGAGTGAGTGAGTGTATGTGTGTGTGTGTGTGTGTGTGTGTTAAAGGACAAATCCTGGGCTGTTCCATACTTTTCTTACTGTCAAAGAAACCTATGGAAAATCAAACACTACAATGTATTGGTCATGTATTGCTTCTGTAACCAAAGTGTGATAAGCGCCTTCAGTGTTGAACATTGATTGATCACCATTTGTGTGCATGTGTGTGTATGTATACCAAGTCAGCGCTGGGCTCCGTGTTGGCGGTGGGCGGGGCTGCAGCAGTGGGCGTGGCAGCAGGAGGGGGCGTGGCCTCCTGAGGGTCAGCAGTCAGGTGGAAAGGAAGCGCATTAGTGGCAGCCATGGCGACAGAGTTTATGACAAGCACACACTCCTCCAATCAGATACAGATAAGCAATGGTGTCATAAACGTGGAAGCTTAAAGAGGTTATTGAAGATATGCAGGAAATGTGTGAGATTTTGTTACCTGAGAACGTGACCCATTTGACTTTTTAATGTGGGTTTTTAGTGAGCTGTGATTTAAAATGCTAATTAGAGATTTCATGTTTTAAGAGGTTCACTGGAGCCTGTAAGGTCCTCCTAAAAGAGTCTCTTCAACCTCTAAATTGGTGCATCAAGAATCACAAGTAGAGAGTTTGCTGTAAAAGAAAAGTGGGAGATAAAGAAGCCTCTCTTTGCGAGCAAATGCTGAGAATGTTATTTACTGACAGTTGTGCTTTTTCCTTCAGGCTGACGATATATTTTGCTGTGGATGGAAAATGCATGTTTACTGTGTGCAGAGCTGCGTCTCTGATGCAGCAGCAAAACAATACACATAGTAATTGTGTAAAACTCTGATCTACACTGTCATTATAAAAAACTGTTTCATAATGATGTGTTTTAACTACCTGACATGATCCATTAAAGCACCAACATGCTGACTACTCCCGGCTGAAGGTGGACAGATTAGTGTATCTGTCTCTATAAATCTAATCATAAAAGAAAATCGATTTAGATGTTATTAAATCACAAGGACTTCAAATTGGGTGATAATCAAGTAGTGTAGCCTGGTGTATCATCAGAGTAAGGCAGTGTCATATTTGAGACAGAATAAAGCAAAAAAATAAATAGATAATCTTTACAAAAGTATACTTTACAATGGAGGCCAGCTTGTATTTGGTAAGCTAATAAAACGTAATTACTCACTGAAATATTGTGAAAACGTACTTTCCACCTCAGTTTAACTATAAAGCTATATCTTCTCACAGCCTGTGGTCTACTCTATGTCATAAAACAGATGAACTTACAGCCCATAAAGCAACAGACCACAGAGTTATAGCGGAGCTGGCCAAGCTATGGCTCTGTGCTTCATGATCAATGTCCTTTGAGAGGTGTAGTTTAGCAGGTAACTGATAAACTATGACTGCTTCAAGGCTTGTCATACATTAAATATAAAAAATATATCTCTTGTCTATCTCAATGCTAAGGGTATAAATTGAATGACTCACTGCCCACCAGCCTCTTAGCATAGTAGCTAAACGTTAGCGGAGAGTGTTTTGGCTCCTCTGGGCTCATAAAGCATACATGGCATGCACAGTTAGCGTAGCGCCGTGGAACCGCACTGCATGACAGGCTGCCAGAGGTGGAGTTTAGTGGCTCAAGGCTAAAGGGACTATAAAGAAGAGTTAATGGTCTGTACAACTGCTATGTGATGAAGCGCTAAGCTAACAGGGCGAGGCCACGGCTGCATTTCATCAGAGAGAAATGGGTGTGCAGGTGTGAGTAACAATCAAAGAAAAGAAAATAATAAATATGTGTTGGAGTTATGTGCGCTTCTGAAAATGCATATGGGCTTATGTAGTTCCCTCACTGTACTGTGTCTTTATATGTGACTTATGTGCATCTACTGTAAATGTGCCAACAGCTTAGAATAGGCCAACTAAACAAAAATATTGCCCATTTAATTACTGCAAGTAAAACCCCTCCGGTGTAATATTAACATCCCTAACTTTCACATGACATTAAGTTTTAATACCTTAACACCATCTGTTAAAAAAATATTAATGATGAAAGTTATGCCCATGAGTGTTTAGTATTCTAAGTGCGTGTGTTCCCACGTTAATTTTTAACCACTTACAGCAGGAGGACCTGGGGCTGGTGTCGGGGTCAAAGGAGGACTGAGAGGCTTCGACACCTCCTTTTCCTCCTCGGGCTCCTCTTCCTCGGGCAGTGGAAGAGGAGCTGGCGGAGGGGCGATGTTGGGGCACTGTCCGATTTCAGCGTTCTCAAAGGACACAGGCAGGGAGAAATCTGAGAGACTGAGAGATGGACCGACAATTAGATTTAAAATGACTGGACGTTTGGCTGACACTGCAAGAACACCAAAATAAGATAAAAGTCCATCATGAAAATTAAAGGGACCTGTTAAGATGAGATCAGATTGAGTGTTACAGTATCTTCATCAGTCACGTATATTTTCACCTTGCTATAAGATAGTCTCTTTGACTGATGTTGAAAGATGCATACAGTGGATTTGCTGAGTATATTTATCCGAAACTAATTTGTCACGCTTCACTGATCATCACCACTGTCACTGAGAAGACGAATGGTTTCTAGCAGTGGAAATGTGTGCCATATATGGGGCGAAGCCTGCGAGCTCGTTCAGGCAGTCAACTCGAGCACCAATGATACATTAACACGTGACGCGTCCCTCTTACAACCAACCAAACACTATCTCCTTAACTTGCCGCTCTATTTAAGCTGCCAGGTCTTCCTGCCTCTGCCTCCTCGCTAATGCTGCGGCGCTGTCACATTGCTGATGCGTTCACGTGCTGCTGCTCGCCCCACCACCACCCCAGCTTCCACCTGTAGGCTCGGGGACGCCAAACTCAACTATATGCTGCTCTAATAAAACTATTAAGAACAAGTGAGTTGTCTGACTGAAATGCTATATCTGCATCTGTTCATGTTTCCATCAACACAAAACTGACACAAACATCCAATAAAGGCCAATCCTCATAGACCCAATAGGCGCGTTCACACCAAGTACTTTTCCCACAAAGGTTCCTGAGAACTACGATTTAGTTGCGTTCACACCAAAAAGTCCCAGGAACTAAATTAGTTCTAGAGAACCTTCGTGCTGGTCTCATGAAAAGCGGTGTACTTTCGCAAGCGACCCTCTTTGAGAACATCAAGAGTACTTGATTCAATGTCTAGCGGCAAGTGTGGCCTTTAAAATCACGGACGCCCCCTCCTAATACGTTTATTCGGCGCACTAGCAGTGAAGAAGAAAGACAAGACGAAACCTAATGACCGTCGGCGGTTTTGTTGAAATGCCCGCATACTGGCCGCGGGTTTAGGCCGGCCTTCGAGGGCCCTCAAATCCCTGACCGAAGTCATTTCGGACGACCGCCGTGAGGGTCGTCGGAAGTATGACTTCGGTAAAGGGGCTTTGAGGCTCATTTGCCGGTCTTGCCAGGCTGTGGAGGAGAGTAGAGGGTCGGCGAGGGGTCTACAAAGATAAAACCTCAAACAGTATTCAATCAGAGAGACGCAAAGGACGCGACCGGAATTACGATTACGGGATTCATTACGTTACGGCTTCCGTATATTTTACCAGGCGCGAAGTGTTTTCAAAAACCCGCTCAAACTGCAACGCCGCACCCGAAACGGGTTAAAGGCGGGGTCGGTTAGTCTGTTGTCCTTGAAAAAAGAAGGGTGCTTTCGAGGGACGAGCAGATCGTCCGCTGACTTTTCC